GATTTACAGGCTGAATTGTTTTAATTGGACATAAGTCTTTGTAAAAAAAATAGTTGAAACATTTCAAAATCACAATAGACTCAGATTATATAATATATCAAAAACCTTCGAGAAACAACTGGCTTAACTCCAGTTATCCCTCTCATTAAAATGTGTCACATCAAACAGCAAAAACGGTTTTTCAAAAAATACCTCTAGAAGGACCGATAACTGGTAGAAAAAGTAGGGGTGACCGGAAAACAAGGAGGCATCAAAAAATTTAATCAATTGCTACGTTAGCTAAGAAAGTTGGTTCACTGTGTCGTCCGAGACAATTTTTTTCTTTAGAATCTATCATACATATCTATAAGTCTACCATTCGACCATGCTTTGAATATTGCTGCCACATATTCTTGATGAAATCCAAGGAAGAATCCACAATGATATTGGTCCTGACCTGGCATCTCGGTTTCATGTCACTTTCCCACCGCCATAATATAGCTTCCCTGTGCCAATTCTATAAATACTTTCATGGTAATTGTTCTGATGAACATTCCGCTACGGTGCCTAGACTTTATGAATTTAAGCGCAGAACTAGATTGACAACAAAGTCTCATCAATTTACAATTGAATCGGCTAGATGCAACCGTAAGTTCTATGCTAACAGTACATTCTGTCGCAGTATTCGCTTGTGGAAATCTCTTCCGGCTCTATGCTTTTCAGGCAACTTTGATCTTCAAAAAATTAAATACAATGTCAGTCGTTATCTATTGTCTTTTTGATTCCTCTTCTTTTATTATTATTATTTTTTAAATTCTTTCACACTTAGTAACCACTGGTGTCTTACTGACTTTACTGCCCTGCTTGTGGTGAAATGATTAAAAGAAATTGGTCAGAGCTCAACTTTAACTCAGTAAAAGCGAGTAACCCAAGACAAAAAACTCTGGATAAAACAAAGTCGTGTGAGCGTATATTCTGCCATGTGGGAAGATGGCCTTTGATGATAAGGAACTAATTGAATTTTTGTGTAGCAAGTTGTTTGCTATTTAAAAATTTAGTTAGTTCCATTATTGTCATAATGAATTCATGGATTTTTGCTTCTCCTTGGCTGGTTGTCAACAATGGCTAGAGAGCCCAGACAGCCCTGCTATCTTCTTATAATGAATTCTCACACATTCTTAACTTCTTCAATACTATCAAAAATAACCCAAAGCCTCTTTTAAAAAAATCAACTTCACCCTAAGCAAGGCAGTAAAGCCACTAAGACACAAGGTGTTATTGGGTGTGAAAGAATTATAAAATAGTGTTTTACAAACGAGAAAAGAGACTGTTAGCATATAAATTACGGTTACATCTAGCCAATTCAACTTTAAATTCTTGAAATCTCGTTACCAGTCTAGTACTACGCTTAAATTCATAAAGTCTAGGTACCATAGTGAAGAGTCCCTCCGAACAATTACCACGAAAGTATTTATAAAACCGGCGCAGGAAGGTAACTTTACGGCGGTGGGAAAATGACTGAAGCCGAGATGCCACGTCAGGACCAATATTGCTGATTCTTCATTGGTTTTTATCAAGAATTTCTAAATACATAGCAGGAGTACCTGACCATATGTGGCAGCAATATTCAAAACATGGATGAATGGTAGACTTATAGACATGCAGGATAAATTCTGTAGATAAAAAAATTGTCGCTCACGACACCGTGAACCAACTTTCTTAGGCAGTAGACCCAACAATGGATTCAATATAGTCTTTTCATTTCATGTCAGCTGCGAATGTTAGTTAGAGAAGGCGCAATAAGTCACTGTCCTCGAGGTTAGCATTAACTATGCCGATGGAAGGTAGAAAGAGGTCTCTCAGATGATTAATAGAGATTAGTTTTGTTTTGGAAGTGTTAAAATTAACAAACCATTCTTTCCCCCAATTAACAACAGACTGTAGGTAATTTCTTCTAGATCAGTCGCCAATTTGACCTTATCGAACTGATCAGACTTACTGTTGAGACAAGAGCAAATGGTTGTATCATGAGCATCGATACCAAATTGAGAGCTGATGCCATCGTGTAGGTCGTTAATGAAAATTAAGAAGTAGGATCAAGGATAGAGCCCTGAGGGACACCTGCATTAATACAAAAGAATCTAGAAGAGTGGCCATTCAAGATAATATTCATTTCACGATTTGATAAGAAAAACTGAATCACTTCAAAAATTCGTCCGAAGACGCTATAACTTTTCAACTTTTGAAGTAGACCGGTATGTCAGACCCTTTTGAACGCTTTTGAGATGTCCAAAGCATCAACCATTCTTATCTAAGGCTTGGTAGACTTTTTCCGTAATAATCGTTAATACATCAGCAGTTGACTTAGAGAAACAAAACCCATATTGCTTGTTTGAAAGAAGGTCCTGCGATGTGAGATGTTTAACTAATTCAGCGTTGCTTTTAAAACAACATTCAGTAGTTCCTGATAATGTATTCTGTCCAAACTGTTACTTTTCTACAGTGACTAATATTTTCCCAACAATTAAAGATTTCAAGCAAACACAAATTCAGGGCCTAGTTTATCATTATACATGTATTCTAAATAAAACCCCAACTTTTGAGCCACTTCACTTGATTCCATATTAAAAATTAAATATTATTTAAAATGAAAACCTCCACCCCAGCCCTCAAAATTCAAAGGCGATTTTTGTAAGGAACAGAACAAGCTACTTAAAAAATACATTTTCAAAGAAAAAATATTTATTTTCGATTAACCAAACATTTAACAAGAAATATTTTATTCTTGCACACTGACTAAGATAAACGCCTATTTTTCTAAATAGGTTTCTCAAGCCCAGTAGATGTTATAGCTCTTTCCACTTGTTGATGGTGTTTTCTTCCTGACCTTTTATTTGAAGTAGTGTGGAACGTCACCATCTTGATTATGTCATTATTCTCTCTTCAAGTTAAGTGGGATATCCATTGTAACTGTTACTACTGTTGGAAGTCCTCGGGTGATGGAGTTTCTGTTAGTTCTTCGTGATTCTGTAGCATCAGTCCACAAGGTTCGAAGAAAGATGGCCTTCGCCAAGACGAAGCATCGCTCGCTCAAAGTCATTTTTGAGCATTGATCTGAGAAAGCGATTGTATATAGTAGACAGTTTAGATGTTTCTAACGAGAGTAAGAACATAAATCGACTTTACATGTTAATGTTTTGGTTATCTCTGGCGCAGCGTATTCTAAGTTAAATTTCCTTTTCTTCACTAAATTTGTTATAAATGGTCCATATATCGAAGTATTTACTAATTCCGCATCCTGAATGTTTACGATAGATTTAGGGTAGGTGCCATCACTGCATTCATTCTGATTCCTGATCTGAGCCTCTGTTTTGGAAAGGTTTATCTGCATTCCTAATTCTTGGAACACTTGGTAGATGATGATGATTTTATGTTCAAGATTATTCTTATTCCAACTATGAATACCTATGTCGTCAGCATACCCCCGCCAACATTATAAGTACATTGGATTCGGGAGGGAAAACAGATTTGTTTGGGATCTGTTATGGAATGCTTATATGATCAGTGCCCATCCCTTTACATCTGTTCCTATAAATGCGCAAGGCATGGTCTAAGAACAGGTTAAACAAACTGGGGCTCTCATTTCCTAAATACCCACCACCCCAGCAACCGGGCCACTCGCGGGCATGCATTAGCCTGAAAAAAGAAATCACGAAAATTACGAAGGGAGTTACGCGTGTTCAAAACCTGGCACAGAAGCCAAAGAAGAATCTGCAATGACATCTGGGCTTCCGTCACTTTCCCACCGTCATAATGTAGCTTCCTTCTGCCTTTTGTATAAATACTTTTATGGTAATTGTTCTGATGAACTTTCGTATATGGTACATATGAATTTAAGTGCAGTACCACATTGGCGGCGCAGTCTAATCATTTTACACTTGAAATGGCTAGATGTAACCGCAGGTTCTATGATAGGAATTTCTAATATCACACTTCTCGCTTCTGGAACTCTCTTCTTGCTTCTTACTTTCCAGTCAACTTTGATCTTCAAAAATTTAAGTGAAATGCCGATCGTTATCATCTGTCTTCTTAATTCTTGTTCTTTTAATGCTCTCTTTCTTTAGAGTCTGTCTATATTTGCCATGTTATAAAGGTGTTGGTTAGATCCAGTGACAGGACCCAAAGAGTGCGAGTTCAATGCGAGTCCGGTTATGGCAGTGGAGAACTTTCAGAGGGAAATTAGCAGGAGATAACTGATAACTGACATCCATCAAAAACATGGCACGTGGAACTAGAACGGTCTACCCCAGTGAACGAAATAAAGGGTTCAGTTCGAAATTTCAACCACCTGAAGAAGGCCGGAGCGTACAACGGCCGAATCGTTGTGATAAATATGGCGACAATGAGGAGGACATTAGTCCGAATAATGTAAATGCTTTCTTTCTTTAATAATATTTTTTCTCCTATTCTCTAGCACTCAGTAAGCCTTTGCATCTTAGTGACTTTATTGCCTTGCTTGAAGTGAGATGATTAAAAATATGGACTAATATTTTATTGCATTTTTTAAGAAACGTCCTAAAAGTAAGGTTGACGCGTGTTTTGCTTTCTTTTAGCCAGTAACTTGTTAACACAAAATGAGAGTTACATTTATCAATAAATACATCGAATAAAGGTTAAAGACATCACAAGAAAAAATAAAGACATTCGAAAAATGCAATAAGTATTTATTATGTAGGATTTTTCCTTCATCTTTCTCTCTTTTTCGCTTTTTCTTTCTCTCTTTTCTGTTAACTCAGCCAAGTATAAAATGGACGGATATATATATATATATATATATATATATATATATATATATTACAATCTCACTGCAAATATTGATAACAAGGTGCATAAGTCTTTGGTTTCTATTACCTCCCCAAAAAGATATTCACCTAAAAACAATGCAAGTTTTTTTTTTCTTTTTTAAATTTTGAAAAAGTTTTAATATTAATTTATTTTTTTTTGTGTGTGTGTGTGTGCGTTCACTCAGGGAGACTGGAATTATAGGCAGGAAGTGCTCCGTGGACCCTGGAAAAAGGAAGATTATGAGACGGGAGCATAGAGAGTAGAAGGTGAACTGAAGAAAGCAAAAAAAAGAAAAGAATAATAGAAGTAAATGAAAAAGAAGAAATAAAAAAGGCGAATGAAAAACGAATAAATAAGAACCGGTACAAAAAGAGGAGGATGAAAACATGGTGAAGACAGAGGGAGAGAAGGAGAGAGAGACAGAGCGGAAGATATGAGAGAGATGGAGAGATGAGAGAGAGGTGCTGAGAGGGGGTAGGAGTGAGAGGTAGTGAGAGAGAGAATACAAGAAGGATGAGTGAAACAAAAGAGGAAATAATGGGAAAGATATGGAAAACTCTTTTTAAATAAAATTCTGGAATGATAGGGCATTTCATCGATTGAATTTATTTTAATTTAAATTTTTCACTAAAGAGTCAGTCAGTGGATTTTAGAAAAAATAGAATAAACAAAATAGAAATACATCCATATATATATATATATATATATATATATATATATATATATATATATATATATATATATATAGAAACAGAATGAAATATAGATATGACCATCAATAGACATAGACAGACTGAATTATATATATATCAGAGATAGAGCGTATGTAAATATAAAAGTGGACAGTGAGGGTCAAAACTGAGCGGCGACAGTCTGTTTCATGGTTGAATACAATCTTCAGGCCATGTCAATGTCTACTTATAGGTATTTAAGTTATATATATATATATATATATATATATACAACTTTAATATTCATTTTCTTACATATATGCACATAGATAGAAACAAATTGAAATATATGTAGAGAAACTGATTGAAATAGAGAAATAGAATTATGAATTATACATCGATTGACAAAAATAGACTGACTCATATATATATATATATATATATATATATATATACAAAAAGAGTATGTGAGATAGATAGATAGATAGATAGATAGATAGATAGATAGATAGATAGATAGATAAACACGCGAGTGTCCTGGAAAGTTGTCGATCCAACCCACATTTAAAATTCTTATCAAACATCAGAAATATTTTTGAGTTTCTTCTTGGTCAGATCGAGAACCATTTCTGCTCCGCTTCGGAGATAGATATGACCGGTCTGAAGCAGACAGACAGATAGATAGATAGATAGATAGATAGATAGATAGATAGATAGATAGATAGATAGATAGATAGATATTGACATAATGCTGTTAGCTGATCGTCATGTTAAAATGTTTGCATCTCTGACGTCAGCAGTGACGTTCCAGTCTCAGCTGCAAAATAGATTCGCATACATGAAACTTCCGGTGGCAGTCTTAGACCCTTTTCAATGTTACATGGATAAATTTATTTTAGTCGTCTTCCTTAGTTTCAATAATTCCGTACATGTGTATTTTTCTCATTAAGAAAAGTGTTTCGTTCATTGACAAAGCGGACGAAATGACAGCCATTAAAAATAATTGGATGAGAAGAAAGGTATACTGGTCAAAGATTTAATTACGGCGTAACTGTTTATAAAATGTATGCCTTTCTCTTTTTCTATATCTCTTGTAGTGTACCAGTCAGTGTAGATTTGTCAAGACAACCACATTTGTCCTTCTTTATGCCAGTTTTTAGATTCTTGTCTCATTGTATTTTAGTTTTAGTTAACTTAACATATATTTTGTTCTTCAATAGAAATGGACGGCTTATTTGAGTGATTTTTGTAAATGTTTGTACTTTTTTTTTGTATTGTTATAGTACTAGTTTTTAGAGCTTTCTTTCTTTTTCTTTGTTTCTTTTTTTTTCTTTTTTTTCTTTTTTGCTAGTCTCTCTCAAGCACAAAGGCATTTGGTGCAATGGTTAACTTGATTCATTTCTGCGTTCCTGGTGTGCTTAGAGACATGAAGCCCATTCGCCCTTGGAAAACTGGTGAGTGACTGGACAGTAGAAATCGCAACACTATTTACCTCACATTATTCTTTTTATATTATTTAATCTGCTACAAAGAACTATTTTAAAACTTTGAGTCTGTAAGAGTGACTAGTTATGCAACATAGTCAAATTATAGAAAGAATTGGGGAAATCAAACATTAAATAATAATAATAATATCATTATTGCTGAATCAATAAGAGGTGAAATAAAGGACCTACTTTTTACTTATTTTGCATAGATTGAAATAAAAAATATCATTTGGCTAGTTTAACTTTATTTTTGTCCTTATTAATATGATAAACATTAGCATCGTTATTTGCCAATCTTAGCGATCAATACTTGAATAATTTGTATAAAATCTACTAAACTGCGAAAAGAAAAATAATTTTTTAAATTAAAATGAACAATATTGCAGTATATTCATTTAAAAGAATTTAAGGAGTTTTTTTTTAATCGTAAAGAAAGCTAAAAAATGTTTTGTTTAGGCCAAATATTTTCCTTTTTTCTTTTTTTACACTCAGAAAGAAAAAAGATGGCGTCTCAAGATGACGCTGAAAGTTAGTGGACGGAGTGCTTCAGTTGAAAAAAGAAATTCACAAGGTTGCTTCCAACAGCAATGGAAAAATAGAGAAAACAGTAAAAATAATGCTGTTTTTTTTTTCTTCTTGATTGAAAGTTCGTAAAACATTTTTGAATAATTGTAAATGTTTATCACTGTTTTTTTTGTTTTTTTTTTAATCAAAGGCTGGCATATTTCAACGTGAATTGGTTTGCATGCGTTCTGTGTGCGTATGACAATTTAAGTTGTGAAGATGTACGTTTCTGTGCTTGTGTGAGACATGATATATATATATATATATATATATATATATATATATATATATATATATATATATATATATATATGTGTGTGTGTGTGTGTGTATGTGTATGCATATATATATTGTATAATTGTATTTGTGTTAGCCTCTCTATATATACGTGTACATAAACATATATACAGAATTCTGTACGTATATATATATATATATATATACAAAGTTCTGAATGGGTATATATATATATATATATATATATTGTATAATATACGCATGCTTATGGAAATGTATAATGTATAAATATACGATTTATGCACGTATGTATATATATATGTATAGGTCAATATGTATGTACTTCGATGAATGGTTTTGTGCATTTATATGTATGTATATATATATTCAACGATATTTATGTGTGTGTGCGCGTATATATGTAATTTTAAAGTAATTAATAGTTTTTTTTTAATCACACATCATTTCTTATTACTATAATCGTTATATTTAGTGGGCATACATGTTTGAGTAGACGTCCATGATTTTTAAAACAGTGAAATTAATGCCTACTGGCATAGAGATCGAAAGTTTTTATCAAGATTACATGCCTCCGGACAGGAATCGAACTTGCATTGTTTTTTTTTTGTTTTGTTTTGTTTTTTTTGTTTTTTTGGAATACAGGTTTAATTTCTGTCAGTAGGTATCTTTTCTTGAATTAGACTTTCGATCGCTATTCCGGTAGCCATTAATTTCACTTTTAAAAACAGGTATGTCTGCCCCAAACGTACTTGCTAAATATAACGTTTAGAGTAATAAAAACAACAACAACAATAATAATAATAATAATAATAATATATATATATATATATATATATATATATATATATATATATATGATAAAAATATAATATGCTATATTTATGAGTAAATGTGTCTAATATCAGGAACATAGCGCGTGTTTATTATAAAAGTGGAGATAGTCCAACACCGAGTGGAGACAACGTGTTTCTTGCGTGAAAGTAATCTTCAAGTTGTGTGGTACATATTCTTAAACGTTGCCAAACATTGCGTCCAAGCATAAAATAGGTTGTCGACACTGGGTGTTGGCCTTAGTGTCCACACACACGCACACACAAAAATATATATATATATATATATATATATATCTTTGTTGGTCTCTATATATGTGCATATATTTATGTAGGTCTATATCTATATATGTATAAATGATGTATGTATGTGTGTGTGCATATATATATATATTCATACATATGTTCATGGGACTATATATGCATACAGATTTGTATACGTCTATAGAGAGATATATAAATTTATACATAAATGTCTGTATCTATGAGCTCTGTATATATGTGCACAGAAATATATTGCAAGACACAGAAATATATATATATATATATATATATATATATATATATATATATATATATATATATATATATATATATATATATATATATATATATATATATATATATATATATATATATATATATATATATATATATATATATATATATATATATATATATATATATATGTGTGTGTGTGTGTGTGTGTATTTATGCATAAATGTATATCTTCATGTATATTATTTATGTATGTATATGTATTTCTGTGTACGTGGATGTCGGCGAAGTGAGAGAAAACAGACCCCCGTACATTACGTGTCTGCTTTATATTATTGATGTAAAATCAAAGTCTGCGGTAATGTCAGTTGTTGGATTACGCTTTTCGGCCCAAGGATGCTGACTTTCTGGTATAGGCGAGTTCGACTCCGGAGTATTGAGCCCATCGGAGCCTTCAGCCATTCCGAACATGGTCGCATTCAAAAGATCCCTCGTCTCGGCGCTCAAATTAAGACTGCTGCCACATATATCAGTATTGTTCCACCAAGGTTTCATACCAGTTCCCTTAACGGTCAAATCCAGCGGGTTATTGGTCGTCGGACCTTCCGGCCGATTTATTATATTACTACAGAAGAAATTGTCCATGCTAATATCATCCGAATTAGATCCATCCGACTGTGGTGGACTGAGTGCCATTAGCGATCCGTAATTCACCTCTTCGTCAATGATAGTTTCCGTCTTGACTTTTACATCACCCACCATGATGTCCTGGTCGAAGAGGAAGTTCAGGTTAAGTTCGTTGGCAATGTCGTCGTTCTGTGGGAGGTGAACCACGTTTGACAGCATCTCAGCAGCCTTGTTGCCTTCCCAGTCCGGGCCGGACGGCGGACTTGAGCCGTCCGAATGGCGACCGTTGTCGGGCAGGTTGCGTTTCGCCGGTGTATAAGCGCCGCCATTGTTGTCGTTGTGCTTCCTCTTCTTCAAGATTCCGTTCTCGATTTGATCAATGTACTCCGGATTCACCTTCCAGAAGCCACCTTTCCCCGGCTCGTCTTTTCGTCGTGGAACTTTCTGGAAACACTTATTCAACGACAGATTATGACGTATGGAATTCTGCAGAAAGAAATAAAAGAGAACATTATCAGTCAAAATTGTTAAGATGAATGAAATACAATCAATGATAAATACAGGCATAAAACAAATTTAGATAACCATTTTAGTATGTAGTAACTACATGGACCCAAAACTTTTTGATAAATTTCTTTTTTAATGGCCGTTGTACATAATGGTCATTAAAAAGGAAAGATGACTTCAGTGAATCTTTATTAGTTCGAATCTCATCATGGTCGATTTGTCAAAAAGGAGACTTTTCGATGTGATCGGTCTGGGGGAAGCGATCCCAGCGTGCGGTACCTTTGAAAAGTCCCTGAAAAAGCATACCACAGGCTGACCCTAGCCTTGTGAGTGAAACTTGGTAGGCAGAACTGTTTGAGAGCCGTTGATGGTTGTACTAGCACGAAGTCACAAGTCATCGTGACCGAGGTTTTGAGCGTGCTGCCCTTGTTCCGGCTGCTGACCACGCCAGATAATTCGCTCTCTCCCAGAAACTGTAACTAAGGTCCGCTCAGCATAGTTGCAGTATGAACCACAGGTGGGCTCTGTGGATGTTGAACAAACCGAACAGTTAGAATTACTGTCGGTTGAAATTTGCAAAGTCTTTTTATTAAAACAGTTTTTTTTTTTAAAGGAAATTAGACTTCTTATGTCCATTACTTTTATTGCCCTTTCTAGTAATGACAAGAGTTTCCTTCCTCACCTTTTGTTTTTGGTAGTGCAAAAAGTTAAGCTTTTGATTATATCATTATTTTTCTTTCTAGTTACACGTGTTGCTAATGTTTGTTGTTGTCGCTGTTGAAAAAAAGCTGCTTATCTTTTTAAATATTTATTGTCCAATAGAAAGCCAAATTTCCTTCATGTTTGAGTTATCAATTGAGTGGATTTATTATTCGTAAGAAAAAATACACATCAAAAGCTGAAAGATGCTCGGACGTCATCGAAAACAATCACATAAACGAATAGCTATATTCATTAACCAATCAAATTTCACTTAGGCTCATGGCATGTTGGAGCCTCTAAACTAGCATAACAAGACCTGTTGGTATACAAAAAGTGATTATCCCCCTTCGCTTAAAGTCACGCCTGCTTAGTGACGTTATTTCATACAATGACAAAACTGGTCACTCATTCAGTCAGCTTCCAAGAGTCAGTGCCTATCGTGTTTTGCTTAACTAAATGTGCACTTTATCCAGTTGTTTGGCAGTAAACTTCGACAGTGAATCTCTGGTTAGATTTTTTTAAAAGTGGTAATGGAAAACGCCTATGGGAGACCACCAGACAGTCACCATAATCTTCTGCTGGTGCAATTTCAGTTTTGGAAAGTGTTTTGAGCCCTTCGTCTTTTTTTTTTCAACCATTGTGCCGAACATTTACGATTGTCATAAAGTATCTATTTCTAATCACAAGTCACTATTCGATCAAGAAATTGATCATTCTAATTTCGCAGATGCAGCATCGAACGCACTTCAAATCGTCGAACTCTGACTTTCACACAATTGTGGAACACATATGTTAAATTTCTTCACCTTGCCAATTTTCTTGAAATGGTTAGATATTATTGAAATTCTGACATCTATTATCTAAGACATTTTTCTGACATTTTGACGTGGGTTTTATTTAACTAGTGTTTTCAGATGTTGATTGTCAATTCCAGATTGACATCCTCTACCACCTTGATCTTCAAGACTCGTATCTCCACTGTCGGACTTCAGAAACCAATGCTCTACTGTGCATTATGAATAAGCTTGAACTCATGCAAAAAAGTAAACACATCTCTTCTTTTTTTCATATTCGAGATGAGAGGTATATATAAGTTGTTGTTTTTTTTTTAATCATTTCACCCAAAGCAATGTGATAATGCCACTAAGACGCAAGGGGTTACTGGGAGTGAAAGAGACGAGGACTTTAGGAGAAGGAACCGGAAACCCAATCCTAAACTGAAAGCAATGGATGAATATCTATTACTGTTCAAAAGACAGGGAAGTAGCGTGAACAAAGCTATAGAAAAAGACTGATATGAAATTTAAAAAATGGACAGTTTATTCATTAAAACTGGATTGGATTGGATTTGTTTGTTTAACGGCATATCAACTCCTTATGGGTCATTTAATGTCGAAATTTAATTTTCTAGGAAGCTTTGAAGCAATAAAATTGACATAAGCTATTCTGCTTTCACAAGTGAATACATGGTAGATGATACTCAGCTTTTGTGTATTTGTGTGCACATGGTTAATAGAGGAGGTGATATGTGTCTTTTATGTTGTAGTTTTGTGGAAGTTATATTTTGGTTTGGCTGGTTGATTTTGTTTAGCGGCATATCAACCTCTATGGATTATTCAATACCAAAATCTAAATATTTTGAAGGCAATTGTATGCATTCAAATATAGATAAAATGTATCGTTAGTGATTTCACCATAAGTAGGTATTATTAGAAATTTCACTACAAATATGTATTGTTGATAATTTCTTTTTATATAGGAAAATATATTGGTGGTATTTTTACTATAAAAATGTATTTTCATACTTTCATTGTTTTTTTTTGGGGGGGGGTCACTATTTGCCCATAGTTGCGACCCTAACGGGTTCTACCAGGGTAAACCTGGGAACAAGGGCAATTAAGAGGTAGTTCCACGCTCCTCAAAACCTACAATTTCTCAATCAGAGGTCTTGCTGCCAGATGTAGTTTATCATCATACTAATTACCTGTTATGTACAGAACCTATGAAGACTAATGGGTATGTTCCAATCCTCATACATACATTGGGCATTATTGAAAGTGGTGGGTAATATGCTAAGTAGTCCATCGCTAGCAGTGGTTTACCTACTTCACGCCGCTGGCGAGTATTGTGTTTTGTTGATGTTATAAAGATTACCATTTCATTTCCAACCCCATTTTGGTTATTCCTCATTCAGTAACCGTTTCTAGGTTACAACATTAACAATTAGGGATGAATAATACATTTTTTGTGGATCTATTATTATAATATATCAGAAAACAATGAAAAGGTTTATTCTAAAATCGGACATTATTTTCCGAACATGCTAATGACTAAAAAAATATGTCAGAATAAATAAAGAAAATACGTTAAAATAATATATATATATATATATATATATATATATATATCAGCGTTGTTATTCCAGAAAACGACAAGAAATTGAAATAGAAAGAGTACGAAAATTATTTAAAATTATCTGTATTTTCGTAGAAAACTGAAATGGTAGAAATCTTGGAATACTTGAAGAGATCTGCAAGAAAACTGACACAATTGGAAATCCGAGGAAAAATCTAAACTATCCATACGACAGCAAAAAATAAAAATAAAAAATTACTGAGGCATGCTGGTATAATGCGGAAACTTGACAATACTTTATTTCCAATGAAAGTCACTTGATAACTAATAACTAATATTGTCAAAAGTGAACGATATTGTATTAATTTCTAAGATTTAATTATGTGTAATACATGTAATAAACACAGATATATTTGGTAAACACGTTATTATTTAGTACTGTCGTGTCTCTTACATTTTCTACACAAACCGGATGTTAGCCGCTCGACGACCCAAAATAGACTGGGGAAATACATCTTTTGCGTATAGGCTCCGTGCATAAATCCGCTTTAACCAAAACAAGAACTATATATTGACCAATCAGAGCTACTTCCGTTCAAAAAAAAACAAAACCTTAATTTGGAGCCGATTGACGGCTATACATTCTCAAATTCAGACAGACCCAAAACAGACCAGTGTTTGCTGTCAACACTGGCAAGTTGAGAGAGAGACGCGACACAAACCAGTGTTTCACAGAAACGCCACCGAAGACGACAGCCATCACCAATGTATATTTCACTTCTAATCTCATAATTCTCTTTCCCTTTTGCTAAAGCATCAGATAGAAATTACTAGTTTTGTATATATGTAAATATATTATATATTTATTTACCCATATTCGATGTCTTCTTTTTACTTGGACTTAGGTTTGCAGATGCGGAGAAGTACAACAGTAACAACAACAACAAGGTTCTGTCTTCCAGGTAACCCATTCACGCCTCCGCAACAGCACAAACAATTTGTTAGCTGACGAGGCAATATAACAAAATTGTTTCCATGAATAAAGTAACATTTTTTCAACTTTGAGTTTTTTTTTTTATTGTTGTTCATGCAATACAAGTCCCAAGAGACACTCAAGGTAGAAACAAAAAGAATAAATATTTTTCATTGATGGAATCATATATATGTAAATATTTCAGAAATGAATAAATATCTTAATAATAAATAAATATAATTAAGCGCTGTTGCTACATCAGCGTCTCTCCTGATGTCCATCAATGACAACATTATTTAGTCTGAAGAAGTCCTTTCGAAGTTCGAAGCGTGTTACATGTGTTTTTTTCATTTATTCAGTTAATGATAAAAATGTACAATTTTTTTTTGTTTGTGGACGACGGAATAAAAAAATAGCAGCTGGCGGTAAAGGTGAACAGATGTCCACTTGCTGATAAGACGTAACAAATGAGACTTTACTTTGCACTGCAAATCCATCACGACTCTATCGAAACCGTTAGGCGGCTTTTAGAAAGCTGATGGGATATGTTCAATCATGAATCACAGACCTGAATTCGAGATAGAGTTCTTTTTTTTTTAATGATTTCCATGTACATATGGCTTCAGTGCGTCTTTATTAGTGAGATTAAGAGGCAAAGGTAAAGTTCAGCGTTTCCATACGGGAAACATTCAGCATTCATTGACCGAACAGTTGACGTTAATGTCGACTGAAATTTACAAAGTCTTTCTCTTTTAAGAGAAAGATTTTGTAGTTTTTCAGGGAAATAGATTTCTCAAGTACCAATAACTGTTATCGCTCTTTCTAATATCGATAGGAATTTCTTTTCAAGCTTTTTGCTTTTAAATATTTGATATTATAATTATATCATTATTTGCTTTCGTAATTACATGTGCTACACACTTTTGTTGTTGTTGTTGTTGCTGGAATT